GTATTTGTCCTGGCTATATTCCCCTGGGGACCAGGCACTGTTCGAGTTCACAGAGACTGAGACTCAGCCCCGGACTGTGCTGCTGCCCAGAGCTGGCATGTGTCTCCATTGCACTCTGTGTTGGGGTGAGCACGGTTAGACTTCACAATCAGTTCCCAGTTTCAGCCTCTCCTGGCCTGCTTTTGTCTCAGCTATGATCCTGAGGGCTGGGTGCTTCTTAGGCTCATTAAAGCAGTCCTTCTGGCTCAGCCCCACCCTAGGAATATGCCGTCTCTGTGAACACGTAGTCTAGTCTCTGTCCCTGCCACGCCCCGCCCCAGCACATACCACCTTAGGCAAATCCTTTACTCACAGGGCCTGTGTCTCTGTCCCAGATCTATTCTACCAGTGGTTGCCACTGGAGAAGATGCCTGGCTTCCTCTGATTGCCCAGAGAGGCAGGCAGTGTCTCTCCAAAATATCCCCAGGGGGTGAGCCCTATTGTTCCCACCACTAGTACTGCTCCTCTGTGCCACAGGGCACCGACTCTCCCATATGGTTCCCTCAGTTCACCGTCGTCTCCTTACTCCCATGCTGCAGAATCAGCACAGACCAGCAACAGCCCATGCCTTGTCCACACCTCTCAAGAAAATGCCCAAGAATCTGGACTCCATGGGGGACAGGCTTCCAGACTTTAGGGTGAGAGTGGAGTGCTGGGGAGTTCAAAATTGCAGGTAGAGAATATATACAGTTTTATACAATTTTATGCCTGGTGGGAGAGTGCCATGGCACACTAGTAAGTCCTCTTTAGGGAAGGAGTTCTGGGTTTTAGAGGGTCTCTCCCATGGGATAAAATAGGAGGAGATCTGAACTCTGCTCATTTGTATAGAGTATACTGCAAGCCACTCTCATAGGGAGGGGACTCCCGTAAGCTTGCCGATGGATTTTGTACCTATTGTCTGTTTCCTTGGGATCACAGCATGCCTCAGCAGGGTTGATGTGCATTCTTCAACCTCTCTTTGCACAGCTTCAAACCATCAGCTTACTTGCTAAACTTCTGTCCTTTAACTCTCCCTCTGGACGGAAGCCTTTATGGAAAGTGGCTCCAGTCAGTCATCTTGCCTCTCCCCAATGATATTTTAATTGGGATTGTATTGAATCTATAGATTGCTTTGGGAAGTATAGACATTTCAACAATGTTACTTCTCCAGCCACAAGCACAGTATTTTCTTCCATTCATTAACATCTTCTGCTATTTCTTTTCTCAGGGTTTCATCATAATTCTCTTTGTAAGGATCCTTCATGTCCTTTATTAGGTATATTCCTGGGTATTTTATTTTCTTTGAAGCTATTGTGAAGGGAATTGTGTCTCTGATTAGCTTCTCATCCTATTGTTGGCATATACAATAGCTACTGATTTGTGGATATTGATTTTGTACCGATATGTTACTATTTCTGGGAATCTTGCAGTTGAGTCTTTGGGGTTCTCTAAGTGTAAGATCATGTCATAGGCAAAGAGGGAGTTTGACCTCCTCTGTCCCCAATTGGATGACCTTTATATCCTTCTGTTACCTGATTGCATTGGCTAGAACAGAGGTCCTCAAACTTTGTAAACAGGGGGCCAGTTCACTGTCCCTCAGACCTTTGGAGGACCAGACTGCAGGCCCCAGGACAAGTTGGCTGCTAAGCAGGACAGGCAGCAGCAACAAAAACACCCAGCAGGCTGGATAAATGTCCTAGGCGGACCGCATGTGGACTGCTGGCCATAGTTTGAGGATGCCTGGGCTAGAATTTCCAGCACTGTATTGAATAGTAATAGCAACAGAGGACAACCTTGTCTGGTTCCAGTTCTAAGTGGAAAAGCTTTCACTTTTACTCCATTGAGTATACTAGCTATGAGGTTTTGTTTCAAAAAATGTGCCACCTATGTCTATTAAGTGTTCTTGTTAGGAAAAGATGGGGTTTTTTGTTTGTTTGTTTGTTTTTTCGACAGTCTCAAGCTGTCACCCTGGTAGAATGCCATGGAATTATAGCTCATAACAACCTCCAACTCTTGGGCTCAAGCAATCCTCTTCCTCAGTTTTTCTGTTTTTAGTAGAGATGGGGTCTTGATTTTTTGGTCAGGCTGGTCTTGAATTTGTGAGCTCAAGCAATCCACCTGCCTTGGCCTCTCAGAGTGCTAGGATTACAGGCATGAGCCACCTCGCCTGGCCTAAAGATGCTGAATTTAATCAAATACTTTTTCTACATCTATTAAGAGGATCACATGGTCTTTGCTTTTGCTTCTATTGACATGGTGAATTACATTTATAGATCTGTGTATGTTAAACCAGACTTGCATCCCTGGGATGAAGCCTACTTCATTGTAATGTATAATTTTTTTTAATGTGTAACTGTAATCTATTGGCTAAGATTTTATAGAGAATTTTTGCATCTATATTCATTAATGAAATTGGTCTCAAATTCTTTTTACTTGGGTCTTCTCCTGGTTTTGGTATCAGGGTGATGTCTACATTGTACAACGTGTTGGGGAAGATTCCTTTCCTTCTCAATTTTTGGAACAATTTCTGCAGTATGGTTATAAGCTCTTCTTTGAAGGTTTGACAGAATTCTGGTGTGAAGCCATCTGGTCCAGGGCATTTTTTTTTTTTTATTGAAAGTTTTTTATTATTTCTTCCATCTCAGTGCTTGAAACTGGTCTGTTCAGGAGATCTATTTCTTCTTGGTTAAGTCTAGGATGTGATTCTGTGTATTTATCCATTTCCTTCACATTGTCAAATTTCTGAGCATGGAATTTCTTGTAGTATTCAGAGCTAATCTCTTATATTTCTGAGACATCTGTTATTTCCTCTTTGTCATTTCTGATTGAGGTTATTAGAGATTTTACTTTTCTGTTTCTACTTAATTTGGCCAAAGGTTTATCAATTTCCTTTATTTTTTCAAAGAACCAACTTTTTTTTCATTAATTTTCTGAATGATTCTTTTGTTTTCAATTTCAAATTAATCTCTGATTTAATTCTGGTTATTTCTTTTCTTCTGCTGGGTTTGGGATTAGATTGTTCTTTTCCCATTTTCTTAAGACTTTTCATTAGTTTGTTGATGTGCTTTCTGTTTTTTGGATGCAGGCATTGCATTGACTAGAACATCCAGCACTGCGTTGAATACTAATGGCAACAGAGGATAACCTTGTCTGGTTCCAGTTCTAAGTGGAAACTCTTAGAACTGATATGATAAATTAATGTGATACATTTCCCTCTTAGGACTGCTTTTGCAGTGTCCCACAGGTTTTGGTAGCTTGCATCATTGTTGTTTATATGTTGTATTTCTTATACTGTTTTTAAGTAACTCAGAATGCTTAGGTTGGGTAAGAAAACACTCCCTCAGTTCATGAGATCTAGCCAGCTCATTACTATACCAGATATTAAAACCTTAAGAAGGCTCGGCGCCTATAGCTCAGCCGGCTAAGGCGCCAGCCACGTACACCTAAGGTGGCGGGTTCGAATCCCCAGCCCGGACCCGCCAAACAACAATGACGGCTGCAACCAAAAAATAGCC